ATCTGGAAGGTCCGACCGCAGAGAAAATGTAGGATGTGGCCAGCCAGCCCCCAATCACCTAACTGCTGGATGACCCGGGGTGTCCAAGCACGGTTGTATGCTTTTTCTAGATCCAGGGACGCGACGCCAACGTGGAGATTGTTTTCCATGGCGTTCTGGAGAACCACTCCTAGGCCGGTGAAGTAGGTTCCGGTTCCATGACCAGGTCTGGACGCGTGCTGCCGGTGATCTAGGTGGTTGTTATCCTCCTAAAATAGCATTAATCGACGATTGACCATCCTCTCCAAGATTTTACAAGAACAAGTCAACGAAATTGACCGGAAGTCTTTCGGTTAAGGAAGATCATCTCCCCATGTTTGGAAATCGGGACCACCAAGCTGTGGGTCCACTCCGACGGTATTATGTTCTCCGTCCAGATATTATTGAGTATGCTCAACATCGCAAGTTTGGTTTCCGGCGGTAGATGTCTAAGCATAGGGTATCCGATTTCGTCCGGGCCGGCTGATTTCCCAACGCAGTGGCTGAGTGCCATGTTGAGCTCGGCAATCTGGAATGGGACGTTGATCGGTAGTGGAGTAGGAGCTTCCGGAATAACTATGTGGTTCAAACTTTGCGTGGACGCGTTGTTCCTACGGATGAACAGACAGTGACGCAAAGTGGTCTCCTAGAGCCTCTGCGATGATTTGTGGTTCCCGGGTGATACCATTCGGAAGACGGAGGGCCATCCCTCTGGCTTTCCTCTTCCCATTCAAGGCGTTCACACGACGCCAGAGTTCAGACGCCGTTTGATCAGCATTTATCCCCTCGAGAAATTTCTCACAGCTGCTCGTTTTGGCGTCTCTGATTACCGGTCGGCACTCATTTGTTTTAGTCCGAGAGACTTCGGAAGCCCGTTCTTTGTCGGGATGGCCTTTGGGTAGCCGTTTCATGGCCCGAAGAGCCTTCCTCCTAGCTTTGATGGCTAACTTGGCTTCGGCACACCACCAGTGGAGAGATTCGGACTTGATTTTGGGATCGTTGAGCTGGCAGCCTCAAGAATGATCTCCGTTAAACTCCTTAAGTCTGAGGGTTGGGAATCCTTGGACGAAGCGGAGATTATCTCCTGGAATCGAGACCAGTCGGCCTACGAGAAGCCTTGAGTGGTCTGCAGTCAAGCCGGATTTCCACCGGGTGATGATCACTACCCATTGGATCTTCCTTAACGTTCCAAAAAAAAAACGGTGCACGATGTCTGCGCTAGTTAGGGAAACGTCGGTAGCTGTTTGCCTCTTTCCATTTGTAAAGGTGATGGACCCATCGTTAAGAGGAGTCAGATTGGCAGATTCAGCCGCCTCCAACACCTCAATGCCCCGACGATTATTTGATGGGCTACCCCAGGCTTGGTGGTGACCGTTGACATCCCCCAGGAAGAGTACCGCACCATCCAGGGAGGTGAATATCTCGGAAGTTCTATGAACATCTCTGATGTTCAGTGAACTACTCGGAAGATCTATGAACATTTCGAAAATTATACGTCCTGTGAGCCCAAGCACGACAGTCAATAAAGTTACTTTTTCCTTTCCAAAATCCGCAGAGTGTATCAGGAAGGAGCAAGTGGTACTCAACATACCAGTCAACTTCGTTTATTATCGCAGGCACGAATCCAGTACGACCAATGAGAAGCGACGGATAATTATTAAGACCTATGAGTTGCGAGCACTTTTGATATTGCTAATTTACAGCATCCGCTTTACTGTTCGAACAATCCCAATTCATCTCTGCTTTTTGGAAGCTCCTGGTTCCTCCAGCCCAGTTGTGCCGATTCCTACCAGCGCTCAGCGTAGTCGTCCTGGACCTGTGGCTGGATATGGATCAGGAGTCTTCCAGCTTGCTTCTATCATTCACTGCCTGATGCCGATTCGGACTTTGTTCGTCATTGCGATTATGCCTCTGTAACTCCCAAACCCGGAACGCGCCGTAGATAGCCACAATCCTGCCATTAGCAGCCTTCGTTCTTCATAGTCGTTGCGGACCTGCTGTCGGATGTGGAGAAGACGTCTTCTAACCCACTCACTATAGCGAGTATTCAATCAGACTCGATGATAATCAGTTATTGTCTGATGTATGTGTGATTTCCAGGAAGAACAGTCGTTCGATTCTTTGCCGTAAGCAGGACGTCGTGATCTTCTACCAAAACGCCGGTGGAATGAATTCTGATGTTAAAGAGTACCGGATAGCTGTATCGGATCGTTGCTACGATGTAATTGTCCTTGTGTCTCACATCGTATACTACCGAAAGCATATCGAATCGGGTTCAAACGGACGTTACTTATTCCGACCTATCAGCAGCTTTCGAAAAGTTAAACCGGTAATCTTCTGAGTTTTTTTTTTATTGCGTTTATTTATAAGGCCCCCTTGCCTATTAGGCATTGCTTGGGCCGATGACCATTATTTACAATGAGATCCCTTCCCACTTTTATTTTTCAAATAAAACGTATTATCCCCTATTTGATAAGTTGCATTATTTTCATCTAAACGATCTATTTGCTGACCAGTCTTCTGGGTGCACTGATCAGCACGAACTTTCTTTTTTTCGTTCTCCTTGTGTTTCGACAGCCAGCGTTTGTTGGTATTTTCATTGAAATCCTTTGTTGCGTTTGATGAGCTGGTGCTAGAGTTTTCGTCGTTGCTTGAAGTGTGATGATCCTCGGTTTGATTGTCGGTGTTTCGCTGTTGTTCTTCTGCTGAGAACCCGGTGAAAGCAGGAGATGATTGACCCGATGTCGTTGGCTGGTTTTGTTCGATATCAATCGACGGGAAATCATTGAGACTGAATACCCCCTCGGTTGGTGGAGCTGCTGGAGCGGTGCTATTTTTCGATGTGGCTACATCCAAACATTTCTGTTTGTGATGTGCTGCTCGGCCACAATGGCGGCACGTTTTTGGTTGCTTGTCATACGTTACCAACGTTGTTTCGTTGTCGACCGTGATGTACGATGGAATGGCGCTTTCGAGTCGCATTCGTAAAACTCGAACACCGCTCATGAATCCTGGGAAGTAGTGCTTCCATTTCTCATGTCGACTGGAAATCACTGTCCCGTACTTTACTATGTGGTTCATAACAGTGGCTTGTGGCCATGCCAGAGGCAGATCATGCACTCGAACGGTCACTGCTTCACAATCCACATATACCGGGATTTTGAACTCACTCTTCGCACAGAGAATCGCGTGTTTATAGTTGTGCGCCTTTTCATAGCGCAAGGCAACTTCATTGTCTATCATCTCAATAAAAACACAATTCCGGACGTTATGAAACTGAATGCATCTAACGTCCGAATATTGAAGCTTAATATTGTTCTCGAAGAATTGGAACTGGAAGGACACTGAAGTCAACAACAAGTGTGTTTTTACGAACTACACTCATTTTCGCTACAATATTTCACCAAGTTAAGCAGAGCAGAAAGAGAACACGTCCGATGAATACGAGTAATGGCTGTCGAATGGATCTTCTGAGTTGGTTTCGATCATATCTTACTGGTCGCCAACAAGTGGTTGCCAGATTGCAGATCAGCTAGCTTCTTCCTCACATCAGGGAAGTCACCTGGGATCGTTGATTTTTCCACTATTATTCAACGGCGTGCATCATTGAAACTCCTCGGTTATGCAGCTTACCTCAAAATCTTCCTACGAATCCGCTCGAACGTTGACTGCCACTTTCTTCAACGTTAGCTGAATGTATTCGCAAGTTGGTGAAGTTTAAACGGAATGGTAGTGAACCCAGCCAAATGCTCCGCTATCGCGCATGAATCAGGTTAAAGACTTGTATGTGATCTTGGCTTCGCAGCTATCATTCAAGCAACACATTACATATGTTGTCGATGAGGCGTCTAGAACTTAAGGGGTTCATTTTAAGGATAACTAAAAACTTCACTGACATCTCTCACTGTCACTGTCACACTGTCTAAAATCTCTCTATTGTTCACTTGTTCGATCGACGCTTGAGTATTGTTCAGCGGTTCGGAACCCAAACTACAACAACGGTGCAGATAGGATCGAATCTGTTCAACGTCACTTTCTTCGTTTTGCGGTACGTAGATTGCCTTGGAATGATCTTCCAGTTACGAAAGCCGTTGTCAACTTATCGACCTAGAACCTCTCCGGACTAGAAGCAGAGTCTACAGGGAAGGACAGATTGCGAGACTATCAATCCCGACCGCTTCGTAACAACCTCATGCTAAGGCTGCCTCTGCGTGGCACAAACTATGGAAAATACGGTGCAATTTGCGGGCTGCAGCGAGTGTACAACAGAGTTGCATCTGTCTTCGACTTTCATCTCACCCGTGATGCGCATCGTCGAATGTTTACTTTCGTTTTTCGCCGGCAGGAGTAACTGACTATAAGATAAATGTTTCTTTTTGTTTTTTACGACCATGCTTTTTAAACTATAGTTGATAAGATTAATATCACTGGGCCTACATCCAGCCTGTTGATGTAAAACAACAACAACATTTGAGACGTAGAGCTCCCCACGATTGTCGTCTCTTCGAGACAGTTAGAAGAATAATCATCTCACGTTCCATTACGAACAGCAGGAATTTGTCGTCTGCGTCCTTGGTTTTGTTTCAAAACATACCAATGCCAGATCATGAGCAAAATGCGCACTATTTTCATCCACTTTATAAACAATTCTATTAGATTGCATCCAGGCACTGCTTTCACTAGCACTTGAGCTGATAACAAGTCCAGTGCTTCCCCTGGCTTGATGTTTATAGTAAATCACATTCAGCACTCATTTCCGTCTGCTTGACTTTATCGTTGCGCCATTGAATTCCACCGACACATCTGTGCCCTTTTGTAGCTTTCACCGATGATAACTCATCTGGAAGGCATACATTTTGTCGGCCACTCGGAAAAAGGCCGAATATCAGCAAAAACTTACACGCAAACATGCAAATCCTTAATTTCATAAATGTACACCCTGAAAAGAACAACAATAAGCAATAATTGTCAACCAAACTCACGTCATCGTCCAGCTCTTCGTTGTCCAGCATCTCCAGCTGCTGGTCGAAATCGTACTGGAACAGCATCCGCTTCACGGTTCCCGAGGCCAACGCCAGCAGCTTGTCGCTATGCTTGCCCACCGTTCCGTTGTCGGTCGCCGCAAAGCTCTGCACAATCGGCGTCCAGATGGCTAACCGTTCGGTGAATGCTAACGCACCGTACCCGAAAAAGGTATACTGGAACAGCGAGTTGAGATAGCTCATCGCCGGAAAGTGCGGGTCTTTGCTCCACTTGGACCACTGCTGGGCGGTGAACAGTCGCAGCAGTTCGGTAAGTTTGTCCTGATACAGTTCATTGGACAGCTTGAGTGTTGACTGCTGCAGGAGATCGATCACCCCGGTCGCAATGACCGTCGGTAGCGGTAGCGGCTTCTGGCGGTAGAACAGTTCCGAAATCGTAGTCAGGGCCGAAATGGATACGTCGTTGTACGCTTCGTTCCAGCGTGCCAGCATGAACAGGCTCTGGAAAAACTGCGGCTCCGTAATGTTATCCAGCGGAGCCCAGGAGAAGATTTGCTGAACGCACAGCAGTAGATCCATGGTAGCCTGCTCGACACGTGAATCGTCCCCAAACGGAGGCGGTAGATGTGCTAGGCTGATTCCGTTCTTACAACTAGTTCGTGTGATGCATAGCTCAGCGTACTTCTCCAGGATTTCGAACACCGACGGGAGGTACATCGAAACACAGTAGGAAAGGTATTTCTGCCGATCGCTTGTGATGTCAGCCTTTGTGCTGGTGATTTCATCCGAGGTCGATCGCAGCAGCGTTACGCCTAGGATGAATTTACTTTTCAGAAGCTCTAATACCTGCAATGATGGAACATGTCAGTCTGTGGAATCATTGATTAGCTAAAACAAAACAATCCAATCTTACCTGATTCATGTAGTCCGGATGTTCATCCGGGAATTGGCGCTTCCCGATCAGGGCAATCAACTGTGCAACCTTGTCCCGTTGCATTCCGGGAATGTCATGCGAGAAACCCGCATACGTTGCCCACAGCGATTCTCGAATCTGTGCCCGGTGGTTTTCGTCCAACGATAACCATCGTTGGCTGATGGTCACTTCCACGGTCGAAACGTTGAAGAACCAAAAGTACTGATTGTTGAACTGAACCAGATATTGCAGACACAGGGCCCAGGCGTGTGGTGCTCGCTGGAACTGCTGAAGCTGTCCTTCGATCGTGTGTTTCCTAGCGTTGGACGTCCCCGGATGGTAGAACTCGTTCACCAGTGACTCGATGGTCAACAATTCCGTCTGATGAATACCGCCATCGACAACCAAAGTTCCCTGCAATCAAAAATCGGAAATTTACTTAATTTGGCCCTCATCCAACTGCTGATTTAAATTCCAGGCACCACCGATCCCTGGACAATCCACTCGAACAAAAACATATTTTGCATACAACTCGCGCATCATGACATAATTTCAGCGCAGTAAACAACCTTACATTGAACGACTCATTCATTGCTTATTCTTCTATTATGAACATTCCACGTTCCCTTTCAATACGACACTGACTGACTGGCTGCGACGAGACGACAACTACTGACTTTGTGGCGACGTCATCACCGTCCATCTCAATGAAACAAAAACAAAAACAAATAGCCGTAGACATTATTCATCTGTATTTATGAAACCTTGACGACTGCCAGCTGCACTTCCCAGCAACTCATCCCACTCATATGGATCGCCTAGTCTCTGTCAATGAACTATTTTCGCAAATTTTCATCGCTGACTAAACCCGTTTACCGTCCCATTGATGCGTCATCGGTGGCGAAAAGCGCACCTTTTATCAGAGGAAAAACATATTCGTCTTCGTCGTCGTCATCGTCGTCGGCCGTCGGACAGCGAGGAAAATAATAATAAACATTCGAATGTATCGTCGTCGTGTGTGACAGTGACAAAATAGCCATACATATGCGAGAGGGTATTCGTACGACTTGGTTTGTATACACACACCCATACTGGCGCATTTTTAATACACGCCCGTGAGATTGTAGATGTTTCTCTGTGTTGGTGCCAAATCGAATGAGTACAGCGAGATAACAACACAAGAAGAAGAGACGGCAGACGTTTTTCAATGTCTCTCACTGCGCAGGGTTGCCAATATTTTTTTTTCAGAAATAACTGGCGTAAAGTGGATCCTCATATAACCAACAATAATTATTGAATTATTCTTCGCTGGACACAGCGTAAATGTTTACATTTTTTGACAAAACTCAGGTATTTTTTTTTGTCTTTATTATAGAGACTTTCAGCCTTAGACTGGTTCGTCTCTTTATTTAGCAGAAGAGGCATCGAAGGAGACCCCCTTGGCAAAGCATATTACGTAGTTGTCATAACAATTATTTTATAAAGTTCCATAAATTGTAATGTCCGGTTTAGTTGCGTTGTCAAGTCAGTAAGTTGTTAATCAAGAAACCTTAATCGTAGTTCTGTAGTGGTCACTTTGTTGTTGTTTAGAAGTTCCAGAAGTTCCCGTGGTTGATGTCAGCTAAATTCGTTCGTACAGTTTTGTGTTTTTAAGGAAACAGAGCAAAGCGGTTTCTGTTGAAGGGTCGTTAGCAAGAATATCTCTTGTACCAGTTTCTAGTCCGTATATTCCTCTCGAATCTTGATACTGAGGGCAAACAGCAATAATGTGTTCGACAGACTGCCGAATCCCACAAAAATCGCATAGGCTTTGATCGTATCGTCCCGACTGGAAGTGACTAATTCGGGTGTGGCCGGTTCGCAACCTAGATAGGATTCGTTGATCTTTTCTATTGATTTGGTAATTCCATTTGGTAGTCTCACCTTTGACCTCTCTTGTTGCCATGATTCTGCCCAAGCTACCGAAATTATGTTTTTAACCCAGGTTTTGGCATCTCGAAAGGGTACCTGTGTGGTGAGTAGCTGCGAATCTCGACCTAAGGCCGCAAGCTTATCTGCGCTATCATTGCCCGGGATGCCGCAGTGTCCGGGAATCCAAACGAAAAGAGTGTTAGGTTTCACTGTCGCCTGGATCATTTGTACCCATGGGTGACGTATACGGTCCGTTTCAAGGACTTTAAGGACACTCGCGGAGTATGATAATATGGCAGTATAAGTTGCCTTTGCATTGATCGCTGCTTGATGAATAGCTATGGCCTCAGCCGAGAAGACTGAGCACATATTTGGTAGCCGCTGGTGTATCACAAGATCTCTTCCTGATACACCAACACCTACTCTGCCATTGGCCTTGGAACCATCGGTGTATATTAAATCATATCCAGCTAACGTCGTCGCTTTCATACGATTGAAAGTACTTATAACTCCAGCCTTACTTTCTCCGACTTTATAAGAACGTTGAAAAGACTAGTTGACCTTCGGTTTAGAAGAGTCCCACCCTTGGCCTCCGATCCGGTCTAATTCAGCTACCAATGGGAGTTCCTGATGAGCCAGATTTTGAAGGAGTTTGTTAGCCTCCCTTAGGAGGAACACTCTCTCCTCACTATTCTTATGCAACGATTGTAGGTTGGTCCTAGTTTCTGCTTCATCTCGTCTGAAGATCGGCAGGTGAGTTCTATACCGTATAACAGTCTGCTGGTTACGATGGCAGTGGAAACTCGGAGCGCTGTATCGCGGTTATTATGATTCCGACGGTTCGTTATCAAGCGTAATAGGCGTATTCTTGATTGACAATCTTCTCGGACCGTGTTGAAATGTTTTTGGAAGTTTAGGTGGCGGTCTAGATAGACGCCGAGAATGCGACAGCAGGTCTTGTTTGGCACTGTGTTGCCTTCGATTTTGATAGGGTTTGACTCCACCCGGTGTCGGCTGTTACAGATGTGTGTAAAGTTACTCTTGCACGGTGACAACTCAAAACCTACCGATTTGGCCCATCTGTTCACGACATTGACAGCTGCTTGAAGCTTTCTCCGAAGCGACACTGGTCTATGCCCGACAACAACGAGGACGATGTCACCAGCATAAACAAAGATGTATATATCTTTGGGAAGGTCCCCAAAGACTCCGTTCATAGACACTAGGAACTCTAGGTCTAGGTCTCTTCCCTTGCGATGATAGACCTATGATTCCCGATGCCAACTTGGAAGGTTCTGCTCTTGAGGAAATTTTGGACAAAGTGAAGTATGTGGCCGGATAGGCCCCATTCAGATAATTGTTTTAAGACGAAGGGTGTCCATGTCCTGTTATAAGCTTTAGACAAGTCCAAATCTGCTATGTCTACGTGCTGTTCGGCTTGAAGGGCGTCATCTAGAACTTGACCGAGGGAGACGAAGTAGGTTCCCGTTCCGTAACCTTTACGGAAGGCATGTTGTCGGCAATCCAACAGATTGTTGTCTTGAAGGAAGTCAGTAAGTGCAGTTTGTCAATGAGATAGGCCGGTAGTCCTTTGGATCAGTCGAGGATGATCCATTCTTTGGTATGGGAACTACCAAGCTGTGTCTCCATTGCTTTGGGAAAACATCCTGGGTCCAGTTCTGGTTCAGAAGTGAAAGAAGGATCTGCTTGTGGTAGGTGTTTCAGCAATGGGTAACTAATTTCATCAGGGCCAGCAGATTTACCATTACTGTTCGCAAGGGCAAAGCTTAACTCCAACATGGAGAAAGGTTGGTTTATCGGTAGAGAGGTGACGTCTTTTGGAATGGGAACTCTATCTAACGACGTTAAGGAGGCAGCATTGCTTCTGATGAAAAGTTGACTATAGCCACTGATGGCAAAATATTCTGCAACCGAAGGGTCTCTCGATAACCCATTCTCATGTCTGATGACAATGCCTTTTGTTCTCCTCTTTCCGCTTAGGGAGTTTACCCTACCCCACAGTTCGGTAGTAGACTGGTTACTATTGATCCCGTCGATGAAATCTTCCCAATTCCTGCGTTTGGCATCTCTGATGATTTGTCTGCATTTATTTCTCTTTGACCGATATTCTACTAACATTCTTCCTTTTTCTGGGTAATCTGGCGGAAGTCTTTTCACTGCTCTCATTGCCTTCCTTCTAGCTTTGATAGCCGCCCTGGTCTCAGGTGACCACCAATGCAGGGGGTGACACTAGTCCTAGGTATGGAACCTTTAGCAGCGTCGAAGATAGTGGTGGTGAGTTGATCGATACTCAGAAGGTTTCTTTTTTTCATTCGCGTTATTTTCAAAGATCAAAACGTCATGATTACCTGATTATTATTTACTCGTCGTGCATTAACAAATTGGGTTATTTAGGGGCATTGAGATAATTGCATATTCGTAATCTACATTTAAAATGGAACCGAAATCCAAAATTATATCAATTTTGGTACACTGGAACTATTTTAAATAAGTGCGATTACATTAGCAAAAATCACTACCTTGGTAATCAACTCTGTACTCTGTGCCGAAATACATCGTGGCACTCTGAACGGCACGTCATGGCACACGATGACAAGTATGACCCAAAATATAAAATAAAGCGGCATCACTGTTTTAGGTTCACATTTTGCTAATCGTTGCTAAGGTTTACTTCATAGTAAGGGCGAAGCGAAATTGTCCCCAATCAAGAGGTTGCAATTTTGAGTAGACTCTTCGAGTCCTTATGCCATTTGGGGGTTTAACCTCTGCAGAAAGTGCAGAAGGCTCTTAAGAGATCCGGAGAACTTTGAACTTTGTTTACAAAAGCAATTACGCCCTAGCCTCGAAGTTCTCCGGAGATGTCCAAAGTTTCGGGGAAGTTCAAACGAATTAGTCTGAGTCAGCTTCTTCTTTTTCCTCGCATTTCAAGCTTATTGCTTATCCATATTAGCTTATTGCGTGTTCTCAACTTATTTCTAGACCGGACCGGGAATCGAACCCAGCCACCTCCAGCATGATCTTGCTTTGTAGCTGCGCCTTTACCAACTGAGCTAAGGGAGGCCCCAGAGTCAGCGCACCACGCAAAACAGGTCAGAATTCGTATTAACCCTAGATGACCATGGGATCCGTACTAAAAGCCAATTGTATAGCTAAGGAGAATTGCAGTTCCGACTGCAGCCAATGTACGGTGTCAACGACAACCCGTTGCTGAACGATCCTACCATTCTAACGATGCATCTGCAACCGCAGCAGTTTCTCCAACAGAACCACTCGGTACGATAGCTGGTTCACCAATCAGTCAGCCGTACAGCTCATTCTATGGACTGAACGATCTCGGAGATTCGATTGGCTATGGAGGCTGGTGGAGTCAGTGAATCCCGTATTACCGGTTCGCAGTCTTTCGCAACTGGGTGTTCGTCGGTTAGCAACAGCAACATTAAGAAATATGCTGCTAACAGAATTGTGAAGGTAATCACACCGGA